GAAGAGAGTGACCTTAAAATGTGTGCCACCGTAACAAGTAACAAAATGCCAAAGGGGCAGTAAAGGGCTGACCGACATGACCTCACCCGGGGTCAGGGTCAGCAGTGGGGTCTGTGGACAGTCTGTGCCCTGGACGTGCTGTGACAAGGACCGGCACCTTCGCTCAGCACTCTTCCTCCCGCACCCACCGCCTGCCGACCACGAGAGGACGTCAGACCCATCCCCACAGAGGTCCCCACGGCATCGAGAACAGGGAGACTGAGCCCAGTGGTCAGGAGGCTGAGGCAGGAGGAGGGCAAGTTCGAGGCCAGCTTCAGCAACTTGGTAAGACCCTTAGCAACTTGGTGAGACCCTGTCTCAAAATAAAAAATAAAAAGGGCTGGGACGTGGCCCGGTAGGTAAGCACCCTGGGTGCAATCCCCATACTACTACTACTACTACTAATAATAATAATAATAAAATGGCATCGGAGCAGAACTCAAGGGGAAACTAAGGAGCAGCGTGGATCCTGGTCCACCCAGGGTATGACAGGACACTAGGGCAGGACACAGATGTTCTGTAATACATCTGTAACTTTTCCATAAATCTAAGACTATTCTAAAATTTCCAGTTTATTTTTAAAGGAGTAACAAAACTCCGGGGAAGAGGCATTGCTGGTGCAGATCTGGCCGGAGAGCTCCTGCGTGGGGTTCAAGGGCCCAGGGGACAGGAGCCCGCTGGCCTGGCCCCAGAGAAGGTCCAGCTGAGCTCTGAACCCGCCCCCCCACACACACACACACCCTCGGCCTGTTGCGGCCGGTGGACAAGGTGGTCACGCGGGATCGGCAGCCAGGCTCCCACCCAGCAGGCACAGAGCAAGCGGGGCCCCTACACGCCACGTGGACAGGGGTCCCCGGCCAGCGTGAGGCTGCAAAACGTGGGTGGCCCTTCGCCCTTTGTGCCCTGTCCCTGTCTCTGCAGAATGGGGTGGGCAGGAGCAGCCACCGGCAGTAAGCCGAGGGAGCAAGGCTGACTGGCACGCGGCCCGTGAAGGCGCGGAGCAAGCGCACAGTGATGTCGACGCCCTGTGTGTGCGGGTCTGGGCTCCCGACCCTG